CCCTGGGGAGGAGGCAGGCAGCAGGGAGAGGCCACACGCTGCTCTGTCCCCAGGCATCGCTCCTGGGCTGGGGCAGAGCCCCCGCAGGCAGAATCCAGAGGGACCACCACTTCCCTGGGACAGGCCAGCATGCAGCCCTGTGGCCACACCGGTGCTGCCGTCGCGACCGGCACCCTGCCTGTGGCCCCCTCCAGCTGGGACGGTACAGAGCACCCACTGCCTTTTCCAGTGGGGCTCCACCTCCAGCACCAGCAGCTCAGTCCCGTGCCTGCCCATGGTGGGCATTTCATACAGAAATGCACCGAGGGAGGCTTTGCCTGGCTCCCCCCAACTGCGACGGGCTGCCACACTCCAGCTCACCCCATACTCGCTGCCTCTCAGGCCAACCTGGCCACTTCGCCTTGCTAACCCGAAAAAAACCGTGATCTTTCCATCCAGATGGTTTGTGCCAGCTTCAGCTGTCCCCATCGCTGTGCACACAGGAGTGAGCCGCTGCGCTGTACCAGTGATGTGCTGCTCTCAGGGAAGCAGCTACCCCTCTCCCGATCCTCTTTCCACCCAGCTCTGTGAACTGGTGCCTCCTTCTGCCAGTGCCCATGACGACTCGCGCGTGGCTGCACCAGGAGCCCAGGCGCAAGAAACTCAAAAAACTGACTGCCACCCCACCAGGATGGCAACTCCCTCCCCAAGCAGCGCTCCTGTGCTGCTGGCCTCTCCCGCCAGCTCTGCCACCTCTCCTGACCTCAGGCACGTTTGGAGGTGCGGCACTTGGGGCTGACACCGTTTTGCTCACCCGTGTGCCTTTCTGCTCAGCCCAGAGCACGAACAACCGACTCACAGCTCTGCCTCCCGGATGGCAGCGAGCACCATGAGCCTCACCAAGGCCTGCAGGTCGGGCTTACCCCTGCCCCAGGACTGGCAGGCCCTCTCCTCGCCCTCCCTCTCTGGTCCCCTCTTAGAACAGCCACGAGACGTGCCACAGGCAGCCCAGGAAGGCAGCCGGAGTTGTTCTGCCCTTCTGGACCTGAACACCGAGCACCCAGCTGTGCTAACACACAATACGAATACAAGCGGATTGCAGCAAGATCTTCCTTCTCCCTGGTAAGCCATTAACCTTTCAGATGACAGCCTTGCAAACTAAATGACTGAACGATTCCCAGGGTCAGCGCGAATCTACATTTTCAAAACCTGACATCAACAAGTAAAAGTTGTGACTGAATCCCAGTCTCTCCGAGAGGAAGATTAAACGCCTGTGACACATCATCTGCAATCAGAGTGCTCCATTTCCCAAAGTATCTGTCACAGATTGATAACATCCACGCAAAAAGTTAAGTGCAATTATGTCTGTCACTGTAAAACACACTTCAGCAGCACTGACTGACATCTTGCTTGCAGCTGACAAATTGAGAGAGGGCTGTTTGAACGAGGGTGGTAGAAACTCCTGCAGCACCTCGGGAAGGGACGCAAAAGGCACTCCCGAACCACAGAAGCCACACAGGCTCACAAAGCACCGCGGCTGTGACGGGAGCCATCGCGTAGGCAGCTGCAAGACAAAATGGTTCGAGGTTGGCCCTGCGTGCATTCACGGAAGTCAGGGACTTGCTCCCAAAAGGCTGGAACTGGATTCAAAGAGGAGAACATCACACACAAATCCTGCTCTAGCCTACTCCAACAGAGCTCGAGGCACGGAGAGGCTGAGCCCCAAGACACTGCTCAAATGCTCGTGTACTTTTCTCCAAGACCCCAGCCCATGCACTGGCAATTGCTGATCCACAGGCCGGGTGAAGCAGAAGTGTCAAAAGGCCAGACCTGTTACCAGCACCTCTTTTGGGGGAGTACTACCTTCTTGTAGCCCAAAGCGATGTCACCATGCAGCACTAGAGAGTGCAAGCCTTGCACACAGAGCAGAGATAACCGAGGAAAGCCACATTAAACTCCTGCTGGCGACTCAAGTCAACAAAAGACAGTTTTTTAGTAGCAGCCTTCTAGGATGGGAAACTGCAAGTGCATTTCTCCAGGCTGCCATTAGCGCCAAGAAGCTCTCGCAGAATTTGGAGAGAGAAGACAGTAAAGCAGCTTGATGCCTCACACAATGGCACGGTTGTGCTCCACAGCACAGCATGCCATCCTCGCTGGGATGCGCAAGGGCTGCCGTTAGAGACCATTAAGCCAGATGCCTGCAGTAGGAAACACCAAGGAGAAGAAATGGCTGAAAAATAACATATGCAGTCCAGCACGAATATCAAACAAAGCCTCCCCTTGTGCAGTTCTGACTGCGAGCCGTAACCCCGCGACACAAGCGGCGGAAGCAGCATCGCCGACGCGCAGCAAGCTGCGGAGGTCAAACCTCTGACACATGACAAAACTCTGATGTGCCGCCACCCACTGCCATCAGTAACTTACATCATGGATCAGAGGAGGAAGCATGGCTGGTGCAGAAATAAACATCTCTCACGGTAAAAAATCCTTCCATTTAGGAAGGTTTTGCTGTGCAGAAGCTCACTGGTGTGTTTTACTGGTTTAGTATCCAGTGCTAGCAATTGCTCTGAAGCACCCAAGCATACCCTCTTGATTTAAAATTATTTTATAATACTAGACAGCAACTGAAAAGAATAGCTTAAATATCGGGCCAGCCTAACGGCAGAATCTCCACAGTGCTCTCTGTTTGGCACTGCTCACCAATTTTCTCTTAGCACTCACAGCAGCAGCAGAGTAACTCACTGCTGTTCCTATCAGGATATATCCACATGGAATAAAACAGCAAACTGGCTACCAGTGTAATCTCATCTCTCTTTTTGGTGACGTAAAAATAAGAGGTTACTTGTGACTACAATCTTCCACAAACATTAAGTGTTGGGTAACTTACCACACTGCTGATAAAGTATTAGAAAAGGCTTTCAAGTAGTATGTGTTCGCCGTAATAATGAAATATTTGCAGGATGCACCTTTATATACATTTCTATTTCTTAAAAAATATATTGGATAATAAATAATCAGAGTAAAAAAACAGACATGAAAGATGCTTTGAATGATCAGGCTGGCGGTGTAAAAGTTACCTGTAAATCACGCACAGGGCATGAGAGTGGAGCTGGCTACAGACAGGTGGTTTTTACTAGGAGGCATTAATGTAACATTCAATTATTCCACTGCATACTGGCTGTTTTAACTCAGCCAAATTAGAATACATTTTATATTGACTATTTTGACATTTGCTTTATTTGGCAAGTAAAACAAAACTGATCCAATTTCCTTGCAGCCATTGTAAACCATAAACTGTACAACAAGAGGTTATAAAATATATAAGCCTTGTAAACACTTCTTTTCAGACTGTCGCTGATGCTCTGAGCTCTAATTTTGGCCCTGTTCCCAATAGCTCTGACGCTGCTCTGCAGCCTTCCCTGCTCGGCCATAAAGTGACCCTTCCACACTTAGTGATTAAAGACCGCCATTGACATTCTCTTGCTATGATAATTTTTTCTCTTTATTGTGGAAATCTGCCCAAGCAGGAATTTCTTGCTGACAGAAAATGAAGATCTGTGCTCTAAAATCAAGACATCTTCCCCTATGATCTCGCATGGCCTGTGCTAGCATGTAGCTTATGTCCAGTGGGACAGGCTGAAACCTCCAGAAGGCTGCTGGCTTTTCATCTCTGTTTGAGAAGCAAGACAGCATCTCTGCCTGCGGTCCTGTACTGTCAGGTGTGCGGCAAGCAGCGTGCCATGGCACGGCAGGCAACTGAGCAAAACTCTCAGTGAAAGAAACACCCAAATGCTTTGGAGAGCTCAAAGAGCCACTGCAAGACAGTAGATTTAAGCCTGGGTCATGGGTGAAGGCTCAAATGTACACCCCTGCCTAAAAGATACCCAATAGCTTCTTCGGGAACAGTTTACAAGCGTCACTCTCTGACACGATCTGTAAATCAAGACTCCAAAGGACACGAGCATTTTCCATCCATGATACAATGACCTTTGTATACAAGCCGATCCCCCTGGAATTCCCCTCCGTTGTCGTCTTCAAAATTCTAGCTCTCAACAGTTATTGTAATACTGTAAACATATCTGCAGTATACCAAATGCCTAGTGCAAAAATACGTGTTCAGTTAATTAAGCAAAAGCCCAAAGGGACCCGTAGAGAACGTGCTGTCCCCCAGCAAAAGCCCGGCCCAGAGCTCAGCGATGAGCCCATCTCACGGTGGATGCTGTGCTTTCATAGCAAATGCCAGGAGTATAAAGTGCTCGGTTTAACCTCTGTCTGGGTGGTCTGTTGCTTAACAACACTCTGTTTTGTCCAGAGGAATCCAGCAAGTAAGCTGTCAATACAGGACTGCCGTTATATGCAAGTATACACACAAATGCATATATTTATACACACACGCAAATATTGTCTGTAAGACAGGGAAAACAACCTGGACAGACACTATGCCAGTGTCTGCCCAAAAGTGCTGCTCCTGTCAGTCACTGCAGGATGAGCAGCCTGCTCTGCATGCTCAATGTAGCTGCAAGACTGGAGCACAGTAGTTGGGTCCAAGAAAAGGAAAAATAGAGCCAGTACCTGAAACCATGAGTGGACTGATTCTGGAGAATGAGCAAAACTTGTCTCCCTATGCATTAAAATCTGTATGAACATTTCTCCCTCACTTTGGTCAAGGACAGAAATCAGCTTGGCTACAGTGCTAGCCCACCCACCCTCCAGGGGTGACTCACACGCACTTGGAAACTACATCATCTTGCACAGTTTAAAGCAAAGCAAAGATGTAGTTTGCTGTTTCCCTTCCTCTGCGGGCTGCTTCTTTCTTCTGACTTCTTCACCCATATGTCTTTATACAACAACAAAGGAACATCCACTAGACAAACACCTGAAAGAACATTCCCTCATTATCAGATCATGCCATGTAATCATTCATTCTGCTGTGGTACCCAGGACTTGATTCTGCCAGGAAGGGTTAGTAACAATACACCATGCAGCATCAGGCAGAAGGGGCTGGAAAGCAGAAAACTTACTTCGGCAGGTTAGGAGCTGGTGTTGAAGATGGTACTTGGGAAGGAGGACTCGCAGGCTGTGAAGATTCATGGTTGCGTGGAACTCTGCCCATCCGGTACCAAATGCCCATGTTGTTCAACTCCCTGTGTAATCAACACAGAAGACATTAATGCTACAAACAAATGCTGCACACGCACACAAGTACTAAGCACTGACGTGTTTCACAAACAGCTTGGCTGATGAGAACCAGTCTAACTGGGGAGGGGGGAGGTGTGTTAGCTAATTCCTACATCAAACTCAGTAACGCTTGTACTTATGTAGACTCTTCCAATGACAAGGTTCAGCTCTTACTACTACTACTCAGTAATTATAGGAAAACAGGGTGCTTAGCCTTGGTACAACTGAATTCATTACAACAGCTTCTGGAGTGAGGGGTACTTACCCTATGAACGTGTACTGAGGAGGAGCTTGTTTAGATCTACCCAGGATTCGGATATCACAGATTGCTGCCTCTGTAGAATCTCGAGGGATGAATTTAATGCACAGCCTCTTCTTTCTGAAAGCTATTTCTTCTGCAAAAACAACCCAGGACACAGGGTGGGTTTTATGCAAGATTAGGGTATAAATGTTATTTATTGTCTCTCCAGATATTAGGGAGATAATTATGGAAGGAACGGGAGCCAAAGAACAGATATATGTCAGCAAACTAGACAGTGCAGTGCCATTCAGTGACTGGAGAAATCTTCTATCAGGAGCTCTCTGTACGCTGTGTGAGATTTGTTATTAGGCACTGCGATAAACCAATACTCCCTACTACCCTCTGCAGAGAAGATAAGACATCACGTACACCACAGAGTACTGCACCACAGAACAGAAATGGCAGGTGATTTTTCCACTTCCACATACTTCTCACATTCACTTCCTCTTTCCAAGGTAACGTTCGCTTTACCAGCCTGGATGGTTGTATCTAAATATTCCTCCCACAAGCATCACCTTTAAGAACGTACCTGGAAGCTGCTGATACAACTGGTCAGTTTATTCTGCCAAGCGCTTCCAAGCAGCCAACCAAACCAAGAGGAGGGGCAGGCAGAAAACCAGACTGCCATGCAGAGGGGCTAACAGTAAAAGCTGTCTGCCCAAACCTCACGCATCTTAGGTGTTACTGACCTCTCCTGACTCAGTCAGCATCACTGAAATGATACTCCCATTGCGTTTGCCCTGGTATCTTTGTAGGGATAAACCTGATTTACAAAGCAGTAATTGCTAGGACCTCCTATGGGGCAATGTGCTGCACTGACCCATGGTCAGGGCGTGGGTGAATCTGCTGCACGGCTCCTTCCTGCTACGCATCACACAGCAACTTCACTTGTTCCCATGTTATCCATCAAGAAAAACTTAAGCCCATCTGAGCTAAGCCTTATCTGTATAATGAATTCATGTATATGCATGCCACGTGTCTGCACGCAGATACAATCCACATCCAGCCATGGGCCAGTCGCATGATAGCGGCTGGTACCGGCGCACGGATGTGGATTTGCGGTGCTTGGAAACCATTGCTCTATCTCACCCTAAAGAGTCCATGAGAGTCTCAATGGGAGCAAGGTGAGGTTTCTATTTGTGAATGCAGGCACTTGAAAGACATGACTGAAATCTATTGATAAACTGAAAATCTAAAGTGCAGACACTGAATGAAAATCTGGAAACAACCAACAACTACACACAAGTGCCTGCAAAATAAAAACCCGTCAGTTTAATAAGAATAAATATCCTCCAGCTTAAAAATATGCTCTCACTTCAACAGATGGCAAGCAGCCCTGTCTCTATAGGCTCCTCCTGTTTTGTAATCTGCACCTTGGAGAAAGCAATCCATCCCAGCCTCTGAAATTTGCTGTCGCACCAGCACCAATAAATGTACAGGCAGCGCGAGGTGTGTCACAACACAGCATCTGTGCATGCAGCTTTGCTGTTACAGTGCTGCTTTTTAGAGATGTTAAATACCTGTATACCTGAAGCCTAGTCTTCTCCTGCTTTGGAAAACTAGGGCTTTTATTTCAAGTGCCTAAAACCGATTTTAGGAGCCCAGGGTTTAAAGCTTCCACATTTGAAAATTTTCTCAGAACCTAGTAAAGAGTACTATATTTAACATATTTCCTACAAGTCAGCTGTTGGAGAAGCGCACAGAAACATGTATAACCACAAATTTAAATCTGAACAAAATCAGTGCCTTACTGATTTTGAACAAAATTAGTTGACTTTCACAGTAAGTACAAAGCTGACTATTTGCTTTTGTCTCTGGTCTCTTTCACACTTGGCTAAGTCTGCAGTCTGTAGCAAACTTGGTTTAGGAGCGGGATTCATTAATTACACATGCTTAACCAGAGTTAATTTTAAGTAAACATATTATAAACAGTCAATCGAAATGTGTTCATTCATGCTAATGGAAGCTGAGATATGCACCACTTCATTAATACAGACAGTGCCTCTGCTTTAAAGATTGTATGGGTTGCAATCCAATGCATTTTAAATTAATGACTAAGTTCCCTTCCACCAGGACTTTCACAAAAATTACAGCAGCACACAGTAAGTTTCCAGCACTCCCGGGGTGAGCAGGATAAGCCAACAGCTCTCCCCTGCACCATATGTGCCCAGGAATTCTCCAGGGAAAGGGTGTGACCCAGGGGAATAGGAAATGGGCTGCAGACCTTTCACTTCTAGGTCAGGGGCTCAAATCAGAACCAGGTCGGCAGTGACTGAAAAGCCATCCTCATCTGCTGCACCCATGAGTGAATTATTCCCTGCAAAGCGGGCTCAGGTAACTCCTTTCTACTCCTGACTAGGTTGGATTTCATTACTGATGAGCACTGGTACCAGCCCTGCTCGAGCAGTAGCTGTACACTCCGTACCAGGGCATGGTGTCCTGCCACCCTTCCACACTCAGCTCCCGTGGGGCTTGTCCCCAGTCTCCTCTGCACCGTGAGCCCAAGGCGCTTGATACCTGCTGCAGAGCAGAGAGCTGCAACCAGATGTGGCTCCAGCTGCTGCCGCCATGAGTCTCGGGGGATCCAAATACACTGTTTGGGAACTGCTGGCTTTAATGTTGCAGCAAAGCCATTTTGGCCTTGCAGAAGGATGAGGATGGTTATTTTCCCTGGGCTTTCCACTTGTGCCTTCTCTCAGCAAGCACAAACATACCCCACCATCCTCTGCACTGCCTGCCAGGACACGGGCCTTCGTTTGTTCATGCACGGAGGTGTAAATCCGGCATGCTTGAACCCAGCACCACAAGCACGCACCCTTCCTTTCGGCATCCATTTGCGAACATCCCTCAGCACAGCAGCTCTGCTCCCGTCAGGCCTAGTCCACCCTTGCAAAACGAAAGAACAAACTATTCCTTCCCTCCTCAGATCTGTGCTTCTAGCAGGCAAGCTGGTGACAGTCAGGCGCAGTATTAAAAAGCCTGAAGAGCACTGGAAAACCAAAGCCTGTTTCCTTGCAGTGCAGAGCTGTCCCCAAACATGCACCCGTAGCCCCAGAGAGCAGCAGTGCTGAGAGCGTGCCCCTGCCTGGGACACAGCCCTCCACCGCCCAACCACACAGGCACCGGTGGAGGTCCTCCCAAGGCACAGGACTGAAGAACAGACACCAACTTACGTGTATCAATGGTCTCCTGGATGGGGATGAAGCCCACGGGTAAAGTGTCCTTGATATCAATGAGCTTCATATCAACCAAGACATTGCCTAAATGACTCTTTGGAGAGAGAAAAGAAAAAGTTGACTATGACAACGTCACCAAATTCAAACCCAGCTTTTCTCACCTACTGAACCCCAAGATGCTTTGTCATGGTATCTGACCGCCAACTTTAAAAACAGTAAGGAGGTACCAAGCCAGCCCTTGCACTGTTCCCTCTGCAGAAACTACATAGTGATTGACTGGGAAACACCAGACAACTTCTGGCATTTAGAGGTTCTTACACCTCATCCACTGCCATACTTCTGGGTCCTCAGAAGCCCAACCGAATTCTTCCCTTTGGAAACATGGCAGTTCAAGTATCACCTCCACCAACTTATCCACTAAGCAGGTCACCTTAGTTCTCACACACTCTACATCTACAACAGCAACACGACATTTCCGTGACAGTAACAGCAGAAAGCATTACGGGAAGATGGTTCATGCAGACACAGCCAAAGTTATTACATGCATTAGCTAATTAGTACTGAATAGACATGGTTCTAGCTCCAAACACAGGCACGCTCCAGAAGAGCAGGCCATTTGGAACAAAGAACTTCATTTGGAGTCCATATGAATTCTGAACTGATGCCTCATCCTATTAATCAAGGCTTGAAGAGCTCAAAACACAATTCAGAATGACAGCCTCCACAATTGTTTAGAGACCAGATTTTCTTTGCAGTTCTCGTTAAAGCCAACATTGCTGCCAATAATCTGGATTCACGTATGGAAGAAAAACACACTTTACTTACTGCACAGCCTTTATAAACAGAAATGCAATACAGAACAATTAAAATTTCATCCTAAGCCATCAAACCATGTCAGTGTGTTTTACTGTTACTGGTTGCTAAGTACCTCCTTTAGTTTTTATCTGGCAGAGTATTTCAGGCAAACCTCTACTCTCTGATTATTACGCTGAACTATTTTAAAATGCAGCCTCTGAAATAAGGGGAGATCAGGTCTGAGTTTATTTTTTTGGAGGTTCTGCATTTCGTGGTCAACTCCTCACCAGGAGGGCCACCACGCCTGCAGCCCTGTCCCACCACACACAAGCATGGCACACGTCCTTTGCTTGTACAAAGTGACTGAGGCCAGGCAGCCCCCACGTGCCTCTGTCCCCTCTTTGACCAGGGCATCTCAGAGCAAGCAATGCTGGATGCTGCAAAGCCTGAATGTATCAGTTAACGTGGTCCTGGCACAGCAAATGGTAGATGAAGCGGTCGCTGCCGATTCATCTTTCATGTTTTATTTATCCAAACTGTCTGGCTGCGTTACATCAGCGTGCAACTTTCAGCTGAACCAACGATCATTCCTCCATCAACAGCAGACAGGTAGGAGAGATGCCTCTGATAAGTTCATTAGCTGCTGAAACACAGGGAGTCAGCACTGATGCTCTGCTGTACGCACAGGAGAAAAGGGCAAAGCCTCCCTGTTTGAGAGATGCACCATTCAGGGCCTCCTCGCCATGGCACTCAAATAACAGCCATGTCCTCATAAACTGTCAAATATTGTAAGCTGTTGAGAATGATGATTCTGATAAAGAGACACTACAGACTGTCTCCGTTACAAAGCAGGTATCTGAGGCGCATTAACTCTGCTAACTACAACATGTTCTTCAGGACAGATAGTTCCCAGTGTTTTGTTAAAAACAGAAAACCCCGAGTGGTAAAACTTCCAAACCCAAAGCTCCGCAACTCATCCACATCCAGGTGAGAGGAGCCTCTCCGTCCTGGATGAGAGCTCTAGATTGCTGCTACCCAGGAGGACTGAGGCCTTTTAACCCTCAGAGGTGCCCAGCTGGGCAGCACATCATACCCCTATGTGGCCAGGGAGGGCTGAGAGGGGAGGGAAAGCTCTTGCTAGGCCAACCGGGGACAAGGGTGCTGCTCCTTGCACAAGGGGAGAAGGCTGTTCCCCACCAGTCCAGTCCCCAACTCCTCCCAGCCCATCAGCCCGCTTCCAGCCTTCCTGCAGCCAGAGGACCAGGAGCGCCGGTCAGCTCTGCGTGCTTCCCAGGGGCTGGCAGACAGGCACTGGCATCTACTGCTCTGGTCTCTGCCCCACAAAAGGCCCCCTTGCACACACAAAGCCCATGGCCTCAAGCAGCACAGCACTTCTGTCTAGTGCGGGCAGAGGGGGGTCCTCAGAGGGAGCCTGCTCTGGTGGCCGGACGAGGCCAACCAGCCTTGGGAAACCCACCCTCCAAGAAGAGAGAGTGCTCCTACCACCCACTGGGTATGGCTGTAGTGAACCACAGCAGGACCGGCTCCAGGCCAGCACCAAACACAGGCAACACTGCAGGCAGGCTGCTGCCCAGGAGCTCTGCCAGAGGTACCCACGGGTCCAACATGCCACTGACACAGGGCTCGAGAAAAACCTGTGCGTGGGATGCAGCGACTCGCACCACACCTTGCACACCAGGCTGCTGCGCGGCTGGGACCAGCAGTCCTCCCCACGTTGCCTTTAACACACTCATCAATATGAGGAACGTATTCCCAAACTGTGCTGAGCAGAGGATTCGTGCCAAAAGCCCAACAGGCACTGACTGAGGGTATTTACACTGTCTCTGGTAGCCAGCAGTTGCTACTATCCCGTAATTATTTCTGACAACCCCGCATTTAAGGTAGCCACAGATAAACGTAATACTCGAATCATCACAGATCTTCCTGTTTAATACCCTCCATGCCTATTCTGGGGCTATTATTCCTGCTACTGCAGGTAGCCCAGGATGAAAAGCACAATTATTGTCCATCCACCCCAGGAAGTGATATTTCCCATAGCTCTGGAGCTTTATTTTAATCTAGAGGCAGGCAGGGAAGCGGATGGAATAAAGGTCAAATACTGGAAATTGGCAGCCTCCAGCTTTCCTGTCAGGACCCACAATCAACCTCAGAAGTCGCAGTTGCTTTTCTGTTCCCCTCATTGGTGAAAGCACAAGTACAAAAATGCTATCTCCGTACCCTGATGGTTGAATCCTCGTGAATATCCAAAACACGACAAAAAGCAGGATTACCCACTAGATGGAGTGCATTCATTGTAGAATTAAATAGTTCCTCTGGAAAAAGAGGAAGTTTTCACACTAGCCGCAACCAAAAAACACAGTAGAAGGCATCAGGCTCTCGCTGCACATGGTCTCCTCTCCTCCACCGAAGATGTGGGCAGACAACTGCCACTAACCAGAAATTAACTTATGCTTAAAGCCATACTGGTACAAGATTACAAGAACATGGTAGCACATGCACAATGTGGGATAATTTTCAAGAATCAGCACCAAAAACAACAAAAAGAAAATCTAATCCTGCAAGAATGTATCTATGATGCCCCTGGATTCAGAAACTAACGTTTCCTTCATCAAAACTACCTGCAGCATTTGCTTCTCAAGCTAATTAGAGTTAGAAGTTCATCAGGATCATGAGCATGCAGCATCCGTTGCTACAGCAGGAAATGCTAGTGTGAGGGAGTTGCTGAAATGCAAGAATTCCCTTTTCTGCAGCTTTTATTGCAGATTTGGCCAGCAATTTCTTTTGATGAAGAACACAGACAAAATGCAAATATCTAGCTGTCGCAGTTTGCCTCCTGACTCACCCAAACTCAATGAAATGCCTCCTTAAATTAAAATTGGTTCCATAAAATGAATCATCTTATGGGTAAGAGTACACCAGGCACAGATACAAATCATGCAGACACTCAAACGGACTTACATTTTCTTTTGAAAATGATCTTGTGAAGCACAGGTATCGTGTGACCTTGGATTTAAATAAGCCATCTTTCCAGAGGTCAGCATCCAAGCCATCTGCTGTTTGTGCAACCTGGAAGGAAGAGACAGAGGGAGAGAAGAGACATGTGAGCCAAGATAAAGTTAATATATGTGCAGTACTTCTTCCTCAGACCTCTTCTAATTAACGGTAGCCCGAACTCTCACAGCATCTCATTAGTTTCTTCACGAGGTGCAGTGTAAAGAACTTCCAAGAGGAGGTATAAAAAGAAGTTCTAAAAATGCTGCCTCTTGGGAGTCCGTTGATTAAAGATGCTCTGACAAAGGCTATTCTAATGAGGAAACAGCAACTTTGGCTACAGTCTCCAAACAATAGTTTGGAAAAGTCAGCATATCGAGGCTCTCATTACCACCCTACATGCAAGGGCGCACTGGGGCAAGCTGTGAGGAGGGGTCCGTGTAGACAAAGCATAGAAACCATCCAATCTCAGTATTATTTTCACAGAAAAGTCATCAAGGAATTCTTGCTCCCAGGCAAAAAAAAAATCGCTTCCAGCAGCTGAGGAAAGCCCTGGTCACTCGCAGACTGTAGCAGCTGTGCCACATCTGAGGACGCACCCTGCAAACGTCCCTCTCCAATGCAACCCTGTGTCCAGTCGAAGCAATGGCACACACGCACAGAGGGCAAAGGAAACGACCCCAAGCCCTCCAACGAAGAGAGGCACGTGCATGAAGAGGAAGGCAGAAGATCTCACCTTCAAGCTGATTCAAGGAACGGGCACGAGGCAGCACCAGCCCAGGGAAAGGGCTCTTCTGTATTGGCAGCTGGGCACTTGCCCTGCACGGTGCAAGCTGGCAAGAGCCCCTGTCCCAAAAGGTTTGTTGTCGAATAAGAGCGGAGACAAGGCGGCAAACAAGGGCAGCAGAAATAAGATCACCCCACCAGACTAACACCCAACTGATGGCTCCCAACAGGAGACTCTAGCATGGTCTGAAGTTATGCAGTGCAGCTGAACTTCTGCCTAATGCCTCTCAGATGGGGGCAAACAACTCCACTGCAGCTCTTCCAAGTCTAATCTTACTGAATTGAGCAAGACCTTGGCCCCAGAGCAGCCCAAAAGAGCTGACATTTGTTGATACTGTTTGCACCCATGTTTTGTCAAGAGAGACTCTGCACAGGGCATAGGAAGCAAGAGATGTGTGCTGACAAGACCCTCCAATTATCCGAAGTGTGGGAGAGAAAAGTGTATTTATTGTCTGATCAGCAACGGGAGCAAAGTGCGTTGGCTGCTCTTCACATTTTGGCAACTGCTGTTCACAAGCCCCTGCTCTGCTCAAGCCTTTGTATAACGCACACAGCTTTTGCAGTTAGGCTTCTGCAAAGAAACATGCATCACTTAAATAGTAAAACTTTAAAACAGGATTTTGGTGGAATTTTCTGTTTATTATTCCTCAAATTCAACTCTTTCCTAAAGTGCTAGTTTAGGAGTATAGGAAATTCACGTGCATCTCCCTCCCCATGGGTAAGTCAGTTCTGGTGAAAAGCTCTTGAGAAAACAGACTGCTTAGCAAAACTGCTGGCATATAGGGACACTTAGCTTGAACTCCAGCCCCTGTTAGACACAGTTTGAGGGACTACAACCAGATTTGTTAATTAATATAGTTTGAGTTCTATGTTTCAGTTTTTCTTGTGTTAGCCAGTTTTGTTTTCTTTGTTCCCACACATTAAAGATGCTCAAAACTCAACAGAGAGCAACAGACCCAGTCTGCAGCTGTAAAATTGGTGCTGTACAAATTGCTGTCAGATGAACTTTCTGTCTAACCTCTGTAAGCTTTAGGAACTTTACATTACTTAGAACAATACCAAATAATTTTTGAGGTGTAAGTACATCACTTCAGTTGATATCTCCTCTACAACTCACTGCCCAGGGCACAGCTGGATCACAGCTGGCTGAGATACCTGAAGGGCCCCCACGCTGGCAGGCTGGCACTGCCACCCCTCCGGAGGAAGGGAGGCCTGGCACTTTTACACCCTAACGGTGAAAAACCCCCAAAACCTCCAACCCAAATGACCCCCCCTTTTAGGAACAACCCTGCCATTCT